TATGTGACCCTCCTGTTCCTCGACATCACAAAGGTGCTCCATTAGACTGAGATCTGATGATTGTAGAGGTCATTTGAGTACAGTGAACTCACCATCATGGTCAGGAAAGGCACTTGTTGGGGTTTTCTGCTTCTGCTATTGTAGTCAATCTGCTTTGTGGTTTGAAATATTGCATGCTCAGAGATGCTCCTCTGCATATGTTGATCATCACGAGTGATCAATTTAGTTACTGTCAGTTTGAAACACTCTGGCCACTCTCCTCCGATCTCTGACATCAACAAGGCATTTTCTGTTTGTCAGTCTGAAATATTGAGATTGAGAGTCCATCTGGCACCAGCAACCATGCCATTTCATTTTTAAAGTCACTTAAATTACCTTTGTTCACCATTTTGATGCCATGTATTTGGCTGATTAGATAATCGACTTAATGTACAGGTGAACATATTTACCTAACAAAGTGGCTAGTGAGTGTATGTGCAGTGATGAAATCTAAATTCTACCTTGGCCAGGCCTTTGATAGCCTGATTATTGAGCGCTGTGACTGCTTTAATTACATATGGTCATGCTTGGGACCAAGAGGGTATACACCATGAACTATTAGGAACAGTTGCATGAATGAAAGCTGCATGAAATTATATGCAGTGTCTTGCAAACAAGTTTGGAGACTTGCCCTAACAATTCTACTTAGCTGTTTTCAGGTAAACCATCCTTATTAGGGAGACCAAAATACCAATAATTCATATCTTTAATTATCACCTTTAATGTGAACGTGTCATGTTATAACTTCCATCTAAACTGTGCAGATTAGTTTCTAAGAAAGCTCAATGATCAATGTGAACTACCATTACCATATACAAAGCTGAACCATTTATATAATATAAATAGTTACAATTATCAGATATTAGCTATAAGTTAACTGTTTTTTATATCGAGTCTCCTCAACAACAAAAAAGTCACAATAAAAAACATTCATATTTAGCTGATGTGTCACTTAACTGGCCTTGTGATCACTTCTGTCTGTCAGGCAATTAATATCTTATTGTTAAAATATTTTCTCTTTCTTCTTACATATCATAAAAAGATAATGGGCTTCAAAGTGTGTTGCAAGAGACGACTGTTCATTTCTCACACCCTGCCAGCAGTTATTTTTTTTAACCATGACTGTTCTTTATTTGTATGGCTGACCATATTCTGATTTTGAGTTATTGGTAGATCTGTTAGAATATGTTCAAAATGTACAAAAAACCCAAGAGCTATTCATAATAAATATAATACATTTTTATATCTCTATAAATATTCAGTTATTCTGTGATATTTTATCTCTTTGTGAGCTGATGACACTGATTCTGTTTTATTACTGTAAACTATTTTACAGATTAAGTAACATCACTTAAGGATATCATTCCACTGTGTGCATCTCCCGAAGTCTGCACTTGCCTATTAATATTGTTGTGTCTTTTAGAAACTGTATATAAAAGATGGACATAGTACTGTGCCATCACCCATTGGTTTTTGGACCCTACAGTTTTAAGACTTTGTTTTATTGTAGCCAGAACTTACCCTTCTGAAACACTGGTTGGAGTGAGATCAGCAAGGTTCAATAGCAATGCATTCATTGAAAATATGAGTTTAATGCAGAGGCACACAAGTCTGCCAATTAGTGCAAAGTAACAATGTAGCAAAATGCAAGTGTTTCATTAAATAAAAGTGAAGCTTAAACTTCTTGTACAGGCTTTACTACTACTACTATTTTTTTAAGAAAGTTTCCATTAAAAATCCTCTAAAGGGTCCCATCACAAACATCACAGAGGTCCAGTTCAATGACCCATGGACCTACAGCTGTGTGTTAGCAACTTATCAATTAAAGGAGGTACACCCATAAATTTGAGTCCTAATTGAAACCAAATGGAAGTGCAAGAAAAAAAAACCCCCTGCTATGCAGTTGTTATAAAAGAGGAAACTTCACAGAGACTAAAGTCATCTGTGCTACTATGCTATAAACAGACTTTTTTTCCATGGGAGTCTGTGAGGACTGACTTGAATTGGAAGGCAGCTTCAAGTGAAGACAACTGCAGATTTTGGCGCTTTTCTGTTGGCCTCACCTTTTTGTGCCACAGGTTGCTATTTTGTCTTAAGTGAGGATGATGATGAAATTCTGGGACTGTAATCTGTAAATGTCAAAAGTTACACATGCTCCAGTATTAGAGGTGTTCTCTTTGCTCTGATATGTTTGTGGCTTTGGTGCTGAAGTTGTTTTTTTAAAAAAAATAATAATAATAATTTATTCCCTTCATGTTAGAATGCTAAAATAGTTTTTAAATTACTCATGGATCTAAAATATTACATTGAATAAAAATATTTGCCTTCTTTAACCTTTGTTGACTTACAAAAATAGAGGTAATCAGTTGTGTTATTGTTTTGAGTTCTGTGGTTGAACTTTTGGTTTGAGCTGTCTATATTTTACTGTTCCATCAAAGCATTATGAGTAAATCCACAAAGTGTTTGGTTTTCTAAATTTGTCAATCGTATGCAGTACTTTGGATGCTATGGCAACCATCCAGCTGTTTCAGCTTCCCTACTGATGTCATCCACACTTTTACATGGTTATGCCACTTGAGCCTTGAAAGACAAGACAAGCTTTTACACTTACAAATATTACATTATCATTATTTTGCGACTCTACTGAGACTTTTCCTCCCCTTGTCATAAGCTTTTTCATTATGTATTGAGTCTGGAGTAGTAAGATTTCATTTGTTATATGGTTTAATATGAGTTGAAATGAGAAGTCCAAACACGCTGTCATGTTTTTATCTCTTTAACACGATTTCTAATTACTGTAAATGCGCTTCATGCTGATTCACTTTTCAAGTATTGTTTCATAGAGTTATATGACATTGTAAGAGTTCTCAGGTTATTTTCCCGGGCTATGTGAGGGTATCGATACTATCTTCTTCAGCTGAGGTGTGTAAATCTCCTGTCATCTGACTCACAGGTGGAACTATTAAGGGACTAATAGTGGGACTGTTTTATATGTAATTCCAGGAAGTTGATTCTCTTCACCCGGACGCAGCATTTTCGGTTGCAGAAACGTTTTGCCAAGTGACCTCTTCAGCCTCAGCTGACTGCAGGTTTTCCCAACCTGACCAACAGTATATTTGCAAAATGACTGAAACTAGCAGACTGACTAACAATGGGCCATGAGCTCAGCGAAACTGAAACTGTCATGATATCCAAAACATCATGACCACTGATCAATGGCCATGAATGCCATTCACAGAGAGTTGGGGAATGGCTGTAGTTCCAGCATTGTAAGACGGTGAACTTCAACTGAACTCTTTCAGGAATGGTCTCTTTTCACGTTTTACCATCTTACAATGCTGCACACCCATTCCCTAATTACCCCCCTTCATGACATTTTGTATATTAACGATCATGAAACAGAACTCACAGCCCATTATTAGGCAATGGTGTTAGTTTTGGTCATTATGCCAATATACTTTTTATAAGGCTGGAGAAACCTGCAGTCAGCTGCAACTGAAGAAGCCTCTTGGATGAGTGACGAAATGGTTTTGCCACTGAAACTGCTGCGTCCAGATGAGCAGAATCAATTTTCTGTGATTTCCTTACCTGGATGATTGAGTGTGCATCAAGACCTTGGCTGTAATATTGTGTCTTTAGTTTAGGCTATAACCTTCAAGCCCCTTCTCACACATGTACGATACCTGCGTATGCAAACACCTCACATGATCATGTAAAGTTATGCCAGGTACTTGTTTCAGTAAGCATAAGAGGTACCCAAGATATGTGTTTGATTAGTCTATGTTAATGTATGTCTCAGTTAGAGTACATAAATAACATGCTCCTCATATGAAGCAGCTCTCTTGCTCAAATCCTTGATCATCATGACACAGTCTCTTGGTCAGCATTTGCTTTCTTACAGCTAACAAGCAAAAGAAAAACAACTCCTTTTTTTGGATTAGGCTCATCTAAAAAAATGTGGAAAATACTCTTGTTATTTTTTTTACAGCTGATTATTTTGATAAAAGAAGGGCAATTTGAGCCTTTGTTACCTTTGAGAACCATGATGAAACTATTAATTTGACAGTAATGTCTATTAAATTTAAGGTTGTTTGGTATAAAGTTGGCATATTTTTAAAAAGATGTGTGGCTCTGTGTAGACATTTATCCATGTGATAGTAAAGGACAAAAAGGCACAGTTTAGATCACCTTGCCTGCATGTCCTGTAGCCGCCTTTCCACCACCCTGTTCCACCCTTCTGTCTGTTTATGGGAGCACTGAGCAACACTTTTACTGACAATGTATTTGACTTTGAATCTGAGGCTTTTATCTGTTGTCTAGCCTTACCTAACCAACACAGATCTGCTTTTTTTGTCAAGTGAGTCAAAAAAATTGCTTGTCCAAATAGGTGGTCATGAAAAGTGATTCAGCAAAGTAGGAAGGAGGGAGGAACACACGCACTTAGACAAAAACACACACACACACACACACACACCAGTGCATGTCCGGACGTCAACAGCACTCTGAGGGTTCGCTGTCTCTGTGGCTTCATAGACAGAGATGAATAAAGCATCACAGCATACAATCCATTTAATTCTCACACAGACGCACGCAAATGCACAAATATAAATAGACAAAATTTCACATCCGAGCCTTTCTTCCTCTAACCAAAGCAAACACTTACGTCAGCGGGTTAAATTATTCCTTGAAATATTTCACTGATGCTGTCCCATCAATGGGCATACATGCACACATGCACATGCATATGTACAGACAGGAGCTATTAATAGTTTTCCTGTTTTGCAACTGTTACTTTGAGGACTGAACTGTTGATGAGACAAAACAACTTTTAATAGAGTTACTTTACTTTACTTTTTAATTTAGTCAGTTCAAACTATAAAGTTAAACTATAGCTTAGTCTCATACCTCAACTTTATTTAAATAAATATTTCTTTTCTCTTTTTTTCTTTTTTCCAAAACAGGAGATGTTCACGAACAAGTTGAATCAGACGTGATAACAAACTGTTCCTCACTTTGTCTTCACAGTTAATGGATGACGGTAAACACACACACACACACACACACACACACACACACACTACTCTCTCGCAAGTGTTTGCATATGTCACGAATACACAATTTCACAAGTAAATTCTCACTCGTATACTGATGCTTTTGTACAGTTACTGACTCACTCTCACACTCTCTCTTCTACTTGATCTCTCGTCATCATCCCTCTCACTGCACACACACACACACACACACATACACACACACACACACACACACACATTAATAAATCTGCTGAAGTATTATCTTGTTTATTTTTTCCCAACATGTTTTTATCATTCATTCATGAACACAGGTATGCACAAATAAACATGTTTAAAAAAACAAAATATTATCATTTGCTTTTAATCATAAATAATTAAATATCTTATTTTAATTAAATCACACTGTCATATTATTTCAGTCAGTATTTATTTAGTTTTGTAACAAGGGGCGATGCAATTATTTTTTTTTATTGATTATCATATAATAAATAAATAAATAAAAAATAAACCCTTTTCTAACTACTAAATAACATTATTTTGGAATTTGCGGAAAAAGCAATTTAGGTCTGATGCAACTTAGAGAAGCAGCATGTGAGTGTGAAGAGAAACACTAATCAGAGAGTTTTACAATAATGCAGATGTTAAACCATTTTGTGAAAGTGGTGATCCCTTATAGCTTACAGCTTTGAAAAATTCAAAGATTTAATTTTTATGAAATTAAAAGTTAAATAAAAGTGTTAGAGGTAAGGATAAGAAAAAAGATTAAGCAGTGTGTGTGTGTGTGTGTGTGTGGCTGAAGGTGGGGAGTGGATCATTTTAAACCACATAAAGCCAAATAAATACACTTTTTAAAATGTATGCTTGTATTTTCTCATAACTATAACTTCTCTTCTTCCAAACAAGAAAGCACAGATGCAGACAAACATGACAAAATATGTAGCTGCTGTTTTATTGTTTAATCTTTCTATTAATAAGAACTCATCCAGAAACTACATTGCTTTCATCAACTGTTTCTGCTCAATCCATTGTATTGTAATTCATGTGTTGTCTGATGTATTTAACATTTTGAATGTGAGATTACTTATATACTGAGTCCACATGAGGCCTTTTCCTTCAGAGACTACAAAATTATATTTGCATCATAAAACACTATCAGTAGCTACAGCAACACACAGAATATTTCATTAAAACTCCCTCAATGACACTTGCAACAAAAATTAGAGGCTCCTGACTGAGTTTTCTTCTGGGTACATTTTATCTCAAAACTTAAAGGACTAATGCATAAAAACAACATATGACTTTTTCTTATAGTTATAATGGTTCTAAAAAATATTTGGGAAGAGAGAAAAAAACAGAACTAGAAATTGCTGCAATTTTTTTAACATTTAAGACATTTTGAACTTTGCCTTTTCATGGGTTTTACCACGTGTGCACCACGTATCAAAATGTATAATTAGTCAAGGTAAACCTAGAAGAAAATATAGAACTTTAAGGTGAATTTATTAGCAGCAAATCTTAATCTTTGATTTTAAGTTTTGTTTGGGCAGAATAATTTCTGCTCTTGTAGCAGGTTATGTCCTCCATTACTGTAAATGTTGCTTTGTGGGACACATTATTTTTTCAGTAGTGGGCCCAAGAGCAGACAACAGAGACAGTTAATATACATTCAAGATTTAGTGGAAATTCACTTACCTGCCACTGCACAGATGTAACCAGTATTATTTGTTCTGGAGGTGTAAGTTCAGCTGGAACAATGTGAAAGATTTTAAAAGCCATTAGTGTCATATCAGGAAACAAAGGCCACAGGCCTTAGCCAAACAAATTTAGGATCAATTCTTGCAAAATTTTTATAAATAATATGTCTGAACGACATAAAAATATTATTCTCTGAAACATTCAATTTGAAATAATTCACAGTCTAACTTTAAATGAGGCCTCGACTAAAGTTCAATCAAAGCCTAAAAATTATGTGCATTGAAATCCTATGGAGCTAAAGAATGAGGCACCACAAGGCTCACTGATCACTAACTCTCAAAATGTTCCTGTTTTGAGCCTCTTAAGGAACGTGTTAACATATGAGAGGTACAGGTTAATGTTACTAGAAGCAGCAAACTAAATATATGGGAAAAATAATTTTGAGAAAAGTATTGTTTTAAGGAGGACTTGACCTACCTTGATCACTTTTCACTCAGATAATAACACAAGACCTCACTGCAATACGATGATTTCAGTATATTTAAATGTTTTCTTTATTCTAAACATTTACAGTTAATACAGATTGGTTTGTGTTTAATGTAGAAGACTATAATTTCAATCTAGAAGAAGACTCACCGTTAGACTGAAGGAATTTAGAGGATTTAGAGAAAAGGGTAACTGTCCACACACTGCGGGGTGAATATCGAGACATACACCTAGAAGGACAATTCATAGACTCACTATGAAATGTAACATCTTCAAGGTCACTTGTATAAAGTCGCAGTTAAAACCAAAAATATATTTTTCTCACTTATATCTAGGAGTCTTAATCTTCCTTAATCAGTTTTACAATAGTTTTATTGAAATTACTTACATTTTTAATAAACTTTGAGAATGACCGATAGCATAGTGGCAAATACATATACAGGCACACACACACACACACACACACACACACACACACACACACACACACACACACACACACACACACACATAAATCAGTTTATAAACTTTGTTAATAAATTTATTTAGTAAGTACAAGTAGTAACTAGTAACAGAAATGAAGGTTTAGATGAGCATGATGTGAGTTTTGTTCAGAAACAAAGTAAATACTTTTGCAGTTCATGAAGGTTCTCACTAAATTTAGACTCACCCACTGATTGGAAAATTGTATTATTCAATTACTGCGTGCATCTAAACGGTAGACAGAAAAGTGGTCAACAGGAGACCAAATAAGAGTAGTCATAGCAGCAAATTATATGTGAACCTAACTCCAGGTTCCTGCGTACATTTGACAGATTTGCCCATTAAAGACAGCCGTTTTTACAGGAAAATCTGAAAAACAAACTGTTTTTTTTATTATTATTTTTGCTCTGAAACAGCATGCTATTTGAAGTTTATGCAGTCAACTTTTGAAAGAGTTTTATAACCACAGAGGTCAACAAGGATTCTCAGTTCAAAACCAGCAGTAAACATTAAAACATGGTTGTGTTGTCCACAGGGAAAAGTAAAACTTAAATCTACACGATGTAGTTCTTCTCAAAGCCAGGTATGCATACACTCATTACAGCTTGAAAGAGAAAGAAATACAAAAATATTATCACATTTTACACCAAGTTTTTTTGATTAAATTATTTTTTGCACAGAATGTTACAATTACCTCATTAATAGACATTTATTTGTGTATAAAAACAACATAACTTTGATTGAAAATCATTAAAAAAAAGCTCGAGCTGACAAACTGCATCACAGTTTCACTAAGCCTAGAGCAAACAAGCAGTGAGTCAGCATAGGAAATAATGGTGTAAGTAATATAAATTAAAATATATATTTTTTAAAAAACCCAACTCTTTTCAGCTTATCGGATCTTTATAACATATGAGGATCATAGTACGAGCAGTGTGACTTGAATTGTCCAGACATGTACAGTATTCTTAATCTGCTGTCTTAATTTGCCATTAGGATGTGAGTCAGACAATATCAGGAAGATTTACTTACTTCAGGAAAAAGGGCTGGGAATTTGATCTTCAAGATCATCATTACTCATTTTATTCATTTTGGCTAAAATGCACAACTAAAATAAGTATAATTTTATTTAGTCTAAGTTGTAAGGAAATTAATGGATCAAATCTATTTTTTTTCCACAGTCTGCTCTCATACCTATACTGTTGATGGTCTGCAATAGCAATTTAACATATATTTGGAATTTGATTATTGGATGGGGCTAAGGTGCACACAAGCAAAGAAGAAATCAACAGTGTCACCAAAAAAAACTCATTAAAATCTTTACAGATTCCTACAAAAGTTCAGCTTACAGATCATAGTAATGAGACAAGAACATAAAAAGAACTGCACGTACTTCTACACTATGAAAGAAAATGCAGAAATCATTCTGTAAGTATACAGATGATCTTTTCTCAGCCTGAGATGACTCAGACAAAACTAAATAACTTTTTGCTTTCTCTCTGTAACAAGCCTGTACAATCTTAAACTGTGTCCACATACTATGTGGGGATGCCTCTGATCTGGAGCTGCCTGTTTTTTGTTTGTTTTTCTTATTGTTCTTTTAAGAGGAAGCTACTTGTGGATGTTGTGGGCACATATTTCCTTTGATTTCACTCACGAGTTCATATTGTGTTAAACTGTACAAAGATGTGCTTCTTGGGTATTTGTCACATTGTCAGGACACTTTAATTGATAAAAAGTCAAAATGGTGCATTTAAAATAGCGCAAACATCTTGGTGGCCATGTTTACTATTTCCTCTAGTTTAAGATAAAAATCTATTAGTAAAACATATAATTTCTTTTAGTTGGTTAACAACAGTGCTGACCCTAATCCAACAATCCACACTGGCTGCTATATTGTTTATGGGATGTGTTAGAAATTTAACTTTATACTTTAAATTTGAAGCTCGGACAGGATTAAGGTGAAAGCAGGCAAGAAGGAAAACGACAATGGAACAAAGTTATACTTGCAAAGCCTAAAAATGTTTTGAGATTCTAATAAAAAGTTCATGTCACAGATCAAAACAAGAGAAAATGTATATGCTGGACAATGTATTTTTTTAAATAAACGAGTACAAATGCAAACAGTTAAGTACAAATAATCTTACAAATAATTCTACTCTTAGAAAAGGCAATTTTCCTTCACTTCTATAGCTTCATCACTTTTGTGGAAAGTACAATTATGTTCATCTGCTCCGCTTTTCCTGTTATTTTCATTTCAAGAGGTCGGAGCTAAGCTTGTAAACTGACGAGTTTTAATTTGACCCTTGTGTGCTTAGAGACTTCTGAGTGGTTTTGTCTG